TCTATTCACAAGTAGGACTCTTCCTGCCCACCCCAACCCCCCTCCCAACAGTATTTTCTTACAAACCATATTTTGTACTGTAGAAAGCATATGGTGTCTAGTCACAGGTTTTCTAATCTGATTCAACTGAATGGATTAAAAATCTAACACAAGCATGCGGTAGATGAAATAGCTGCAGTACGTGATTTACAGGTGTGTGTTATGGAATTAAACTCTTGTTAATTCCTTTGAATTCACTGGTTCACCCATGACAGTGGGCAATGGTCAATTTAGCGAAAAACACGGAGTGATATTTGAGTAGTATATCTTTGAGGACTACTGTTGAGAGTAATACTTTATGGGGAGAGAGAGAAGAAGCTACAAATGTGAAGCAACATTTGTAGCTATGTGAAGCTACAAATGGACATCAGAACTTCTGGTCTCTGTCACTGACTTCGGTTACAAGTGAGTCACTATGTTTGTATTCCTGTAGTGTCCCTAGCATGTCAAATACTGTCCTAATGAGAAGGTAGTCCTTCTTTAGAAACATCTTATAGAATCATTAAGGTTGGAAAAGACCTTTAAGACTATCAGGTCCAACCATCAACCCAACACCACCATGCCCACTAAACCATGTCCCGAAGTACCATGTCTACACATTTTTTGAATGCTTCCAGTGATGGTTACTCCACCACTTCCCTGGGCAGCCTGTTCCAATATTTGACCACTCTTCAGCAAAGAAATTTTTCCTAAAACTTTTTTAAATCTTAAGGCCATTTGTTGTCGTCTTCTGTAAAATGAGCTACAAAATTACACATCTAGGCAAAGTTACTTGAATTCCTTTAAAAACACTATTTGCAAAGGTTTTTCTTTCTATCCGTCTCTTGAGGGAGTGTGTAGCATGCAACGGAAAGAAGAGAGCAAGTCAAAGCACTTAATAGACTCTTATAGTTTTTCCCCTCTTTAGAGGAAAACAGTATTGCTGTCAATCATGGCTTTCCTGTTTATTCTCTCCAAACAGTGAGCATGTCATAGGAAACGTGGACTGACAGCATGGAGAACAGAAGTTATTTGCCATTCTGTTAGTAAGTCCTCTTCATAAATGTGTTGCCACGGGGCTATGTCCCAGAATCCCAGTCTTGTTCTTTGCAGTTAGTCTCCCTTCAACTCTTGCACAGCTGTGGGCCTTTTTGGCTGGATACCACTAGGCTCTATCTGAAGTTTTCTGTAAACACCATTGCTGGCTTTGTGACAGACTTGAACAGAGGTGCCCTTTTACTGCTCCTTCTCTTCAGGAAGTCCAGTCAATTAGTCCAAGGCAAAACCATAGATTGCATTTTCATTTTTTTTCATCCTTACAACATTGCCAAATACTGACTCTGACCTAAGTCATTGCAGCTGAAATGAGTGTTCTCAAGACTAGGAACAGTTTGCAAAGACAATATGCTAGGACTTTGGAAGTTATGAATTTATATGTAAGCTGTGGAAGTATTCCTCTATACTGTTCTGTCATAGTCTTTCTGTCACTTGGGTAGCTCGATTTTTCTGATCCTTAACCTGTGACTGGTTTGTATTTGTAAACAACTAGTTTCTTAGCTGGTCTGTTTAATGTTCAAGATCATCTAATGCCAAATCTGTTTTGACACATAACTTGCTGTCTTTGAATATTGCTTGCTTGTGGTGTCCTAGTACCAGAAAATTTAAGTATGTCATGATATGCTGCATTTTCTCTCAATTCCACTGAAGTGTAGCATCAGAACAGTCACCTGATGTGGCATGCTGGAGTGCTGCTGTGTTTAGAAAGGTTTCAAAATCATGGGTGATACCATCCTCAGATGAATATAATACTGACCCCTTATAATTCTTTTATTGTTTCTTAGATTTCTAATGTTGTAGAATTTAAAATCAAGGGAGGGGCAAGTTCCCATTTGTATCTGATTGTGGCAAACAGCATTTGATGTGTCACATTTGTAAAGATGTGTTTCAAACCGCACAGCAGCAAATGGGGATGCCATTTTCAAGTTCTGCAAGTTCAAAATACAAAATCTGACTTTGGTAGCTCAGTTCTTGGGAGCAAAACCAGCTGTCTTACAGACCAAGAAAACCCAAGTTGCCTTGGGTGTGCCTATAGCATGTATATATCTGCAGAGGGGCAGATATATACAGATATATAGAATATATCTGTATAAGAATATACAGATAGTCAGTGGCAAAGTAGACTTCACAATATTCTTTAGGTAACTTTTCCAAATGTTTTTGGAGCAGCAGAACAGAGCCTGTGGACTGATAGCTTGCCAGTGTTAAAGAACAGTCTCCAGAATCTTAACTGAACTTAGTAACAATGGGAGGAAATAACATCTTTTTTCTTAATTGGTAGTCTAAAATCTCTTGAATTAATGTTATTGAATGAGTGTCAGGTAATAGCTGTGAATTTTGATGAAAATAGATATATCTCTAAAAATAATTTTCTTGGCTCAAAATAGCAAATCGAGTAACTCTTCTGTCAGTAACTGGTTTAGTGAGGGGGGAAAAAAGTGTCTTGTGCTCAGAATAAAAAAAAAACAAAACAAAACTTTTTTCTTCTTGTACCATTTTAAAAATAAGTTCAGAAAGAATGAGGCATATTCTGTATCATCTGGGTCTTAGGCTCATCTGGTGTGTTGGATTGCAGCCCTCTCCTGGGCTGCTATCTCTGTGTGCTTTATTTTCAGTTGACTTGGCTCTGTAGCTCTACCTCCTAGTTTCCTACTATGTGAAGCCCATCCAAGGAGCAATACTGAGAGGCTTCCCTGCACTTCCTGTTGCATTCTTCTACGTGACATTTTTTAGAGATCTGAAATGAAAAAAAAACCAGAAAACCCTGTATTTCACAGGCTTGGATTTTTCTGTCTAGTTTGTTGTCTTCCGTTATTTTCTGTGAAGTATGGCAAAACAGAATGTTGCTGACCTTCATCTGCAGAGATTTATCCATTCCAGATAAGTAAACTTGCCAACATTGCGTCTACCAAATGGAGTCGAAAGTCTCCAGCACTTTTGTTTTATTCAGAGCTAGTATCACCAGAGACTTTCTGAAATATGCTGTTTTAAAATTTTTGTTCTCAAATCCCAGCAAGTACAGAAGTGGTCGTTAGCCAGGTGTCCCCATCAGTGTGTATCTGGGTTATATTAGGCCTTATAGATGATACTGATGATGTGCTTTAAATTAGCCAATGTGCTTTAGCTTGCTTTTTATTTAGAAAGAACGTAAGAGGAGGGTACTCCAGTTACCTTTCTGAGGAAGAACTCTTGCATCTGGGGTGTTTCCTGCCTCTCCTGTCTACCTGGTAGGCCAAGGGCCCTTCCATCTTGAAAATTCTTGTAGAAACTTGTTCCTGTGACGGTTGTAAAAGGATTTCATGTGAACCTGCAGTATGGGAAACTGGAAACATCTTGTATTTTGTACTCTGGATTGAATTCCACCTGTACTCTTTCACTATAGTCCCTGGCTGAAACAATATGCCGTGGAAAATTTTGAGCTGGAGAAAGAAAAAGGCTTTTTTCCCCCAGTGTTTTGAGATGGTGGAGAAAGGGATGTTGGTTTTTCTCCAAGATACATGCAGAGTCCAAACACGGTGTGTGTTTCCTGTCTCCAGAGTGTAATATATCTGTGCAGGAAGAATTTCTGAGTTCTGAATGGAGTTTTGATATGCTATAGAATTTCAGGTACTCTGTTTCCTCAGTTTTTCATGGGCTGAAAAAGCTGCATGATGTGAAGAAAGGCACATACAATCTCCTATCCTTCCTAAACTAAATTTTTAAAAATGTCCCTTTCCACTCCAGGAATCTTAGTGCATAGTCATGCTTTCTTTTTCTGTGGTGTTTGGGGTTTTTTTTTTCTGTCTAAGCAAGCAGGCAATTACAATCTTCACCAAATATCATCTTACATTTTTGATGTTTAAGACTCTAAGAAGGAAAATTAAGTGTACCTTTCTCTAGTACTTGAATACTTTTTTTAATAGATAACCACACAATTCAGGTTAACACTGGTTAATAGTGTCAGTGAAGAATTGGCATCACCATGGTTCATCTGAGAGTTCTGGTGCCACACAGCTACACCTAGTTAAAGAAATACACAGTCCGGAAGTCCTGAAGCTAGTACTACCATTTATTTTGGTGGTGGTGCATGCTTGTTGGGATGAGTCAACAGTGAAAGCAGTATCAGTCTAACCTGAGTTACTAGTGTATAATGTGGATTCTTTTTAGAAAAATAGTTACATCATCCTTTTGTGACAGTGTTGCTCTTCATTAAGTAATTGAGGGTTTTATATGTTTTATTTAAAATAAAACTTAATGTAAATTAGGAACTAAAAGACTATCCGGTAGACTCGTCCTTGAGCTTGAGCATAGTTGCTTCTAACTCTTAATATGCTGACCCAGGCTCTCCAGAAGATGGATTCACGGAATAATGTTAACATTACTATGTTTTTCTTGTTTAATCCTTATATTCTACTTTAAGCTTTAAGTCCTTCTTAAAACATTGCAAGAATGCTGTACATCATATTGGATTAAATACACAAATCTCATTCTTTTTAGTATAGAAGTAGCAAATATGTTTGGTTTATATAAAATGTTTGTAATGCTTACAGCTTACTGTATTCCCGTTTTCCTTTAGCATGAGACTTTTCATGATAGAGCAGTTTATTTTTTCTCTTTGTACACTTGGGCTTCTTTCCTTTTATACTTCCCTATGTCTCTTAAACTGTCATCTTTTCCTCTGTCTTTCCTATCCATATAATAATTTCTTATATGCTTTGTGTTCTTCTGGTTTTTTCTCAGTCTTTCCATCCCAAGGTACCCTAGAGGGATTTCCTAAATCTGTCTTTCATATGTTTCCTTCCAGGAGCTTCCATTCCTTTCCTAGGGTTCCTATCACCACTTACTTTTGGTGTATTTTTGCCTCTAAGGGAGCAAGATGTCAACCCTTTTGTTTCTAGGTTCCTAAAGATGGGACACATATTCACTGGCATGTGTTTTCTTTGCAGTGAGACCAAACTTTGAGGAAGGTGGGACAGCAACAGCGGGAAGGAAGCATGAGTTTATACGCTCTGAGAGCGAGAACTGGCGCATTTTCAGGGAGGAACAAAATGGGGAAGATGATGATGGAGGCTGGCGACTGGCTGGGTCACGAAGGGATGGTGAGAGGTGGCGCCCTCACAGTCCAGGTGAGAGGGGATCTGGAGGGAAAAAAAAGCAGCCATGGG